CTTGTCTAAAACTAAAACTAAGTAAATGGGCTGGCAGAGGGCTCGCCTAGCATCACAAAGCCCTGGGTTCAGTTCCCAGCACCGGATAAACTGAGCACAAAGTTGCACACCTGTGATCTCAGCATTCAGGAAGTGGAAGTAGGAGGATCAGGGCCAGCCTCAGCTACATAGTGAGTTTGAGGACAGCCTGGGCTATAAAAGACCCTGTCTTAAAAAGGGGGGGGGGAGACAGAACAAGATCATTGTCCTAGATGCTGGGGCTCTGGGCACCCTACTGTTGCTGCCCTCTGCTGAAGCCTCTTTACTGAGCAGCCCTCCTCCAGCAGCGACCCAGAGAACTTGGGTCACTCGTTCATAGATCCTCTCCTGTACGTCTGTCTCCCCTGCCCTGTCCTTGTTGCCTGTCCCACCTCTTGCCTGTCTTCTGTGACCTTCACCTTACCTTGTCCCTTGCCGCCCCGCCTTGTCCCTAGCCATGCCCAGATGTGTACTGGTTCCCACTGCTGACCGAGCAGATGTGTGATGAGCTGGTGGAGGAGATGGAACACTATGGCCAGTGGTCTGGAGGCCGGCATGAGGTGAGGGCGGAGGGCTCTCAAGAGGGATGGGGCCAAAAGAAGGACAGGGGGTTTGGGGGTAAGGGGGGAATCCCAGGGGCGGGGCTCATAAAGAGTATGCTAGTTACTTGTCTTGTTGCTGGGAGAAAGTTTCTGATCAAAGCAATTTGAAGAAAGGGTTTATTGTGGCTCACAGTCTGCAGGCACAAGTCCATCATGGCTGGAAGGCACAGCAGCAGGAGTGTGAGAGAGATGGTCACATGGTCACATTGCATCATAGTCGGAAAGCAGACAGATGAGTGCTTTCAGGCCAGGACCTTAGCCCAGGGGATGGAGCCACCCACAGTGGTCAGGCCTTCCCATCTCCGTTAACTTAAGCCAGGTGATCCCTCCCTGACATGCCCAGAAGCTTGCCCTAGGTGAACCTAGGTCCCATCAAGTTGACAGTCAAGGTTAGCTGTAACACAGAGAGTGCTTCTTTCAGGGGCTATAGGTGTTAGATAGCATGGGAAGGTGGCATGGATTCACAACAGAGCTAACAGCAGCAGAGACTAAAAGGCCCAGCAGTAGTGAATCTGGCTTGACAATAGAAGAAAAAAACGCTTCTAGATGGCAGAGACAGAAAGACTCTGGCTGGGCAATGGTGTGCTCACCGTGAATGCCAGCACTCTTGGCAGAGACAGGCAGATCTCTGAGCGCAAGCCCAGCCTGGTCTGTAGATCAAATTCCATGCCAGCCTGGGTTACACTGAGAAACCCTGTCACAAAACAAAACAAAAACAACTGGGAACCAACAAAAAGAAGCTGGTATGGTCCCTGTGGGAGAATGGGCTAGCCCAGGGATGTGGGTGTCTGAATGTCTGTTGCCCACAGGACTCCAGGTTGGCTGGAGGGTACGAGAATGTTCCCACCGTGGATATCCACATGAAGCAGGTGGGGTTTGAGGACCAGTGGCTCCAGCTGCTGAGGACATATGTGGGGCCCATGACCGAGTACCTGTTTCCTGGCTACCACACTAAGGTGGGCTATCCCAGCCACTGCTGTACCTCTTCTTGTACTCCAGTCTCGGGAGGCTCTGTGTGGACCCCCTGCCCTCAGCCCTTTTAGCAACAAAGTCTCCATGGACTTGGGGCCCAGGCTGGAGATGGGACTGGGGAAGACGTTAAGTCTCCTGCTTGGGCGGCTGTGCTATTAGCAGAGTCACTGGCTGGGCAGGTTGACACCTGTAACCTCACTACTTGGGAAACTGAGGCAGGAAGGTTGAGTTTGAGAAGAGCATGGGCTGTGGAGTGAGAGCCTGTCTCAAAACAGAAGAGAGGGGCTGGAGATGTGGGTCAGTTAGAGCGCTTGCCCAGCGTGCACAAAGCACAGCTTCCGTCCCCAGCACTGTATAACCTGAGGTAGGAGCACAGCGCAGGCCTGTAGTCCCAGCACGCAGAAGGTAGAGGCAAGAGGATCTGAAATTTAGGCTCATCTGGAGCTACAGAGTGGGTTTGAGGCCAGCCTGGGCTATATAACACCTTGTCTCAAAAAATGGGGAGGAATGGGACTGGGGATATGGCTCGGTCTGTAAAGTGCTTGTCACGTAAGCGTGGTGACCTGAGTCTGTGTCATCAGCACCCATGTAAACAGCTGGACATGGTATCACACAGCTGTAACCACAGTGCTGGGGAGGAACCCAGGGTGGAGGAGGACAAGTAGATCCAGGTGTGGTGGCACACGTGTGCTCTTACCATCCAAGAGAACTGAGTTTGAGGCCAGCCTGGTCTACACAGCAAGTTCCAGGCCAGACAAGGTTACGTAGAAAGACCCTGTCTCCAAAAAACAGACAAAATGAGTAAAGGGCTAGCCTTGGCTTGCCCTGCTCTTCCCTGCCATCCACCTGGCATCTCCACAGACTCGGGCAGTGATGAACTTCGTGGTCCGCTATCGGCCAGATGAGCAGCCCTCCCTGCGGCCGCACCATGACTCGTCCACCTTCACTCTCAACGTCGCCCTCAACCACAAGGGTGTGGATTATGAGGTGAGTCTGGGGTCCTTCCTGTCTTGGGGTGCTGCTGGGCTCCTGCACACCCTTCATTTTACAATCTTGTCTCAGTCTCTCCCTGTCCTCTGACTGGGCCTTCTCGAGTTTCTCAGTAGTTTCCTGTCATGTCTTGTGTCAGCCGTTGTATTAATTAGCTATCCACTGCTGCGACAAAACACCACGGCCAGAGGAAACTTAGGGAGGAAAGGTATCCTGATTAAGTGTCCCCCATGGAGGAAAGCCAAAGCAGGAACTCAAGCAGGGCAGGAACCTGGAGGCAGGAGCTGATGCCGAGGCACGGAAGGGTGCTGCTTACTGACTTACTCCTCATGGCTTGCTTAGGTCGTTTCTTAGATGCCCCAGGACCACCAGCCCGGGGATAGCCCCACCCACTGTGGGCTGGGCCCTCCCATATCAATCATCAGTCAAGAACTGCCCCCACAGGCTCACCTACAGACCAGTCTGACAGAGGTCTTTCCTCAGTTGAGGCTCCCGTGTCC